CTCACCGCCTCGGCCGAATCTAGACCCACAGCTAGTTCCTGATTGGCCCTCTGGCATTGTGGCGTAGAATAACATCGCCCTTCAATATTGGGCATAAATCAGAAATACCTGCGACTAGCTCACTGTGACGCCCTGCTTCAGGAGGATAACCAGCCTTTAGCCTGTTAGCTTACTGTTACCTTTAGGGATGGGTGGCTTTATACTTCCTTTAGCTTAAGGCGTTACTAAACAAATCCTACTTCCCTGTTACTGAAGCACACAGCTGGTTAATGTCCAGGTTACAGATTTTTCACTGAAGTTCTGTTGTTTTTTTGATTGGTTTGAAGTGAAAATTCAGAATCCCTCGTAGCTCTTATGTTCATGGTCTGTAGACCTGTTCTAACTTCTCATTTCTGTTGCTTCTTTGTCCAAAAAGTTATTGGTATATCTGTTCTAATTCATTACTATGACAGACCTGTGATGTGAAAACAGCTTCCATTGAGAGTTAAAGTTAGATGATGATGATTGTCTACTTCTCTTATAATTCCTCTAGTTTTATTTAGGCAAAAACAATAAACATGTTTCCTTGTATCAATGTTTATTTTTTTCAACAAAGTCCTGAACTTTCAGGGCTTGGAGACTCAGTAATTGATCGGCCCGTATGAGGTGGTTGGAAAGGTCTAGTAGGATTGACAAAAGCTAGACTGGTATGATGATCAGGGATTAAAGTATTCAGGCCCCAGGCTCGCCCATATACACATGAAGTATACATGTGTATATGGATATTTTTTATTTTTGGTTGAATCCCTGCAGATGTTAAAGTAAATGAATAAAAGCCCTAAATAACTTTTTCCAGACGGATCAGAAGCAGAAATTCCAGCCATCAGATGTCAGCATTTCCACGCTAAAGAACAAAGCGAGGTGAGCTGCTATCATTTTAAATGTTTAATAGAAAATAATCAGTTCCAGTTGCTCTGGGTTCTGATGAAAGATGATGGTTGATGCTTTAATCAGCCCCTGCTTGTGTCTCTAGAGACGCCATGGTGGATGCATCAGAGGCAGCTGCAGGCCGGGAGCTCAGCGGTCATCAAATCCAGAATTATACCATCAGCATCAGTCATAACAGCGGAGCCATCGATGGGAACCAATCATCCAGCTCCGTGTCCAAGCAGGACGCCATTGAAGCTTCGCCCTCTGAGAACGAGGTGGGGAGATGTTCTACCTTCCTTCTTTTACTCCTATAAACTCCGAACGATGCATGAAAACAATTTTACTAAAGATTTTTGTGTGTCTTTAGCCTTTAAAGCTCAGCAGCATGGAGGCTCTCACTACCAGCAGCTGGAGCTGTGGCCATTTTTCAGTTCCGTGAAAATTAGAGTATTAGGGCCACGCTAGAGATAGTTTTTCTTTTTTATATATATTATGAGAATAAAGTCGTAATATTAAAAGAGTAAAGTCAACGTACAAAAGCCTGTTTCAGAAAGAAAGCTTGGAGCTCCGCCCAGCATAAGACCGTGGACCAGCTCCACCAATCAGCAACCAGAGTCCACTTTGACATCCTGATCAGTTTGATGCTGCTGCTAAAAGATTTCCTGATTTGTCAAACCGATGCTAAAGTATAACTTCACATGATGCTCCACATTCCTCATTTTAGGGAAGAAAGGGATTCTTGGAAGAGTTGTCA